CATTTTTTGCCTGTATGTTCAGTATACACTTATTCCCCTATTGCTCAACCATAACAAATACCCAATTTATTTATTTATTTATTTTTTTTTTTTGCAATTTTTTCTCCCCTGTTTCGTCGCAAAAAAAGGCGTTGTCAATTTTTCACAAATGGACGATGATCTACAAGGTCAATACAGAAGAAAAAAAGAAGATTTTAAAGTTCGACACTGCTGTAAAGAGTGTAAATGAATGATTTTTCTAATGAAATGCTAAAATGAAAAAAAAAAAGAGGAAAGACAGGAAGGTTTCTTCTGAGAAACTTAGTTAAAAACTGTCAACGTTGATTTTTGTTAACAAAACCAGAACGAAATTAAAACGAAGTAACAAGAAAACCAATAAAAAACCACCACTTACAGCTAAAGTTTGATGACTGATTGTTGTTTACAAAATCGACAAGCACTGCTGTTCGGAGTCAAGCAATTAGAACGGCTTTCTAAGCATCACGTATAATCCAATTGCGCAGCTTTTTTAGCTTTTTTTTTTACGCTCATGAATTACTGCCAGAAATTTTCGCAGAAACTTTTCTAGTCATTGGTTAAATGTTGGAATTTTGATATAAATGTCGAAAGATGCTGTTATATGATCGTTTTTTGGCAACAGTTGTTACCTTAGATAGTCTGTAAATAATAGCATAGACAGAAGTTGAGTACCCAGCAATAGTTTTCTGCAGGTGGCGACATCAACAGCAGGCTATTCTCTATAAAATCACATCGCTAACAGTATTTTCTAATCACTTTTTAGGTATCACGTTTGATTGTCTTAAATTCTGGTTGATGGTAAACAAATTATGAAGCATCTCTGAATAACAGAACTTTTAGGTGTGCGGTATTCAGTGGTTTTCAGTTGCAGAACTTTTAAGCTAATTTTAAGCCTGTTTTTTATTTCAGCAAAATGACATTAGTTTTTACAGCCGATAGCTCAAAACTAATGTCATTTCGTCAACAAATTGACTGATTAAACAGATAGTGCTGAGCAAAAATTTTGCAGACGTTCACCGACTGCAGTAATTCCTGTACCGCTGTGGAAAGATGTACCAAGTTCGCCGTCAACTTCCAGCCGATATACCTATCACAGTTCGGTGAATCAACTGTTCTTTTGCCTTACGGCAGCAAAAAGAGGTATTTTAATTTCTGTTAGGAGTGTATTGATCTTATATGGTTTCCTGATGTTTTTTACTTCCAGAATACTAAGATTTGATCATATATAAATACCCAATTCAAAGCATTTAAATCATTCACCTAGTTCTTCTTTTCTTGTTCTTTTTATTTGCAAGTTATTTATTTATTTTTCTATCATTTTTTTGTCGCCATTGATCTTCTTTTAATTGATCACCTCCCCTGTGATCTCACCGCCAAGAAATGAAAGCATTACAACAGTCCTAGTAGTAGTAACAATAATAACACTAATAATAACAATGGTAATAGTATAGTAACAACAATAATAAAAATAAAATTGAAATAATAATAATAAAATAATAATGGAAACAGTAATAGTAACAGCAATAATAATAATAATGCTATTAAGTTGAGTTTTAGGTTTGCAGCGGTATCAGCCCATTTCCTCATCAATTTTTTTTCTTCTTATCTTTCTTTGCTCAGTTTTTTTTTGCTTTAATTTGATGCTATTTTTTTGGCAAAAGTAAGTTGGGAAGGGGATGGAGAAAAAAAATAAAACATTTAGCGGTCTAGAGAGTTTCAAAGTAGTGTACAGTGTGTTGTCAAAAATATCAGATCAGACCTTCAAAAATTAGCATTTTTTTTTTTTTTTTTTTT